TATATATATGTGGGTGTGTGTCTATGTGTGTGTGTGTGTGTGTGTGTGTGTGTGTGTGTGTGTGTTGTGAGTGTGTGACAGAATGGTGTGATTTAGATGCCTGCCCAGGCGCTCGCACTGAAACAAAGACGATGCTGTCAGATTTGTTTGGATGACCTTGACAAATGAACTCCGCTGCGTGGTTGGACCACTGGTTCCACCATCAGCATCTTTGATATGCCTCAGGGTGAAGTCGTTGATATGAGCACCACATGTTGACTGCTCAAGTGGCTTACCAAGAACAGCCTCCATCCTTCCGCCTGTTCCGCCTTATTGTCGGCCCCAACACTGAAGACTACGATGCGCGAAATGCTGTCGCCTGCATTTAAAAAATTTTCCATGGCCGTTCATGCTAGTGCTATTGTTTGCTCAGTCTTAGTCAATGTTTTGGACTACCTGGAGTCTAGCGCGCGTGATAGGACACCAACAAGTAGTGGTATACTGTTCGACCGAGTCTTGCACGTCGCGTCCGATAAAGAATTGGGCGGTTTGTGCCAAAAGGCGAGCATAGTGTTGCATCATTTTGACAAGTCTATCGGAAATGAAAGATAAAAAAACATTTTTTCTTCTGGCAGAAAACCTTAAAATTTGCTCGAAAACACGGCTTTATTTTATCCCAGCACCAATGCACAGTATGTGGCGTGAAGATCGCCTGGTATGGTAGAGTAGCGCTTCACTCTAGGTGATGGCCGTATCAATAAACGAGAGTGACGAGGCACTGAGTTGTTCAGAAGGGCTTTTAGTCGGGGTGGACGTCTTACCCTGTTCACCATACGATTGTGAAGCAAGTTCCTTGCGACATGAGCACGCGGGGAAGGCTATCACCGTCAGGGTAAGGTAATGAATCTCAGGGTCAGACAAAAAAAAAACCATAATATGCAAAAAAAAACATTACAGCGCCGTCTACAAACCCAACTCATCGGGCACCGCCTGGTACAGACTAATGCCGTGGCATGGTCAACACTTCCCAGTTGCTGCCACTTGCGGGGGTGGGAGTCAGTCGAGCAAAAGCCAGCCGAAGACGTGACTGAACCAATGACCTCAATACAGTGACATCGGCGCATGCACTAGCCAAGTGGGTCTGTGAGCTGGCATGAGCAGGTCACACCGGCTTGCGAATGGCATGATATCTCAGAAAGTCGGGTATACAATCACTGCCAACAATGTTTGACCCAAACTTTTCGTCACATGTTACGCAATGTAGAAAAGTAAGCGCCTAAAAGTTCGTGAACTTCGATACTGGAAGGCCAACCCAGTTTAAAATCAAATGAGATACACTTGTCATTTCCCGCTCATCCCCACGCTGGTCCGGTTCTTAGGAAAACTATCTCTAGAGCAAAGGAGAGGGATGCAGTCTTCATGAACCTCTCTCCACTACCACATGCTGGCCGTACTGCAACCAGGGCGACTTGGGCTCAGGCCCACCTGCCAGCCCGCTGCGCCAGTGCACGTGACCGGCCCGCCAGCCGACCCGGCGACGTCCTGACGAGGTGTGGCCGCGGCCGCCGCCGCAGCCGACGGCCCGGCGGGCGGCGCCGCCCCGTGCCAGGCGCGCCGGCCGCCGGCGGCACGCCACCCACACCGCCGGCAGCGCAGGCCGCCGCAGGCTGCTGCTAATGGTCGGTGGGGCTGCTGGCGGTCCGGTGCTGGTGGCCAGCAGGGCTGCTGGCGGTTCGGTGCTGGTGACCAGCAGGGCTGCTGGCGGTCCGGTGCTGGTGGCCGGCAGGGTTGCTGGCGGTCCGGTGCTGGACGGTCCGGTGATGTGCTCAGGGGGCCGCAGAGCGCAGCCATGAGAGCATGCCGCAAAATGGTGCAGAGATTGACCGATGTTCGGTTTTTTCCTCGCATTACCACATAAACCAGAAGTCTGATTTTCATTCCTCGCCTCACAAAGGTCTAAAGAATGCAATTGCAGGTGGAAGTGTTGACATCCCCAACCCCAGCGGCACGTTGGTGCCGCATCCGTGTGGCATCTTGTTTCTGTTTTTGCAACCCAATCCGCTGCATTTCCAGACCGTGGCGAAGAACTGCCAACAAATCTGGCATATGATTGGCAAGAGCAATGTCGTTGTCTAAATCGAAATCTTGGATGACTTGCCTGGAAGCTTTCCTCCAGCCTCCAGCCAGCCTCCAGCCAGCCAGCCTAAACCTCCAGACCTCAGCGTGCAGCGCAGTGATTACATCGCATTCAATCCAGTGATTACATCGCATCCGCTTTGTTCCTCCCGGGGTGTTCCCAAACACCTACGAGTTATTTGGGGCTTCCAGCCATTGGTGCTTCCAGATAATTTCAAGCTTCCGACGTACCTTTAAAGCATTTGATGACAGCGAGAGCCGCCGCAGTTCACACGGCATCAGCAGCTAAGGCTCTATTCAGGACACATTCAGAGTTGGACGACGTCGGACCGATGGTATCCGTCTGGTACCGGAGGCCCGTGCCGACGGTCCGCACGGCTCATCCCCACTTGATGCGACCGTGGAGAGTGCGCCGTCGGAAGCCGCGACGGTGCCTGATGGTACGCCATGCTGAGTTGCAGACGCTGTGGATCAGAAATCGCTGCCGTTCCTGGTTTCGCTCGGCTCTAGATCATCCGTGGGATTAACGTGTGTCCTGTCTGTGAACATCTTACGCAAGCCCCTCATCCAATTATCTGTAAGTTTACCTCATCCAACAAACCTTTCGTTAAACCGATCTCAGACCTCGGTCAAACTACGCATCAATTGCGTAGCTTCTCCCGGTATCCACTGGTTTGTGCGTCTTTAGCTGACATGTTCAGATGTTTAGAGACCCTTCTGCCGCCGTCTCCGTGCGCCGTGTGCAGATCGTTGGTGTGTCTTACACTACCCTACAAAGCTCACCAGTAACTATGTTAGCATCACCGACATGACCTGACCTACACGAACTGTACTGCTGTAAGTGATCTAATGTTCTCGTTCATAATGTTTTTCTTTCCGTTTCCCTTCCTTCTTTTTGTACGCTTATATCATTGGACCTTAGACCTTACATGCCTGGTCATACATGGTCAATCAGGTTAAACTGCGCGCGGACCGTCTGTTGCGGACGGGCGGGCGGTTACGCGCGCCGGACCGTCTGCGGCGGAGAGGCGGGCGGTTACGCCGCGCCCGGACCGTCTGCGGCGGAGAGAGCGGGCGGTTACGCTGCGCCCGGACCGTCTGCGGCGGACGGGCGGGCGGTTACGCCGCGCCCGGACCGTCTGCGGCGCCGGATGGGCGGGCGGTTACGCCTGCGCCCGGACCGTCTGCGGCGGAGAGGCGGGCGTGGCAGTTGACGGAGACCAGGAGTGATTGAGGGCAGTACGACGATCACGAGGCTAGTTATTTTCCCGCTTTTCAAGCTTTTGCTCAAGCACGCCAGCTGTGAAATCGGAACGACGTTCGCCTGTTCCACGCTGTGGGAAGTGGTAAAGCAACTGGAGCTGGATAGAGCTAAGTTTCTATGCAACCATCACCAAATTATAGCTCATTCCGATTGAGTTCTTAGATGAAAGTTTTTGCGCGCGCCAAAGAGCTTTTCACAACTTTTGTTTCTTACAACAATAATAAGGGGTAAAGTCGTTACAGACGTTTTTCATCCAAGTTCAAAAAAAGCTTAGGTGGGAATTCAGCTCATTAAATTGCACTTAGTGATGGTCTGATCTTGTATTTATACCAGATGTCTCCAAAATTAAGCTAGGTCCAACAGCGAGGGGGACGGGACATCTTGCGGAAAGGCTCTGAGAAGCTACGTTTCCAGGCGCTGAATAACAGACGCCTGGGTGGGGGTTAAATTGACCCCCCCCCCGAAGGTTTTCCCGGAGTGGTTTCCGAACGGCGCGACGTAGCTGCGCCAAATTTTGCATAGCTGTAGACAATTGAATCGCAAATTGTCTGACATCACAAATTTAGATTTGCCTTGTAAAAACGCTGACCTATGACAGGTCAAAGTCAGGCCATGGTTACAGCGAAGCCACGTTCTAGGGCTTCGATCGTTTACGTTCACTTCAAGTTCACGAACTTTCGATCCGATCAAATATCGGAATGTTAGACGAAGCCATACATCTCTGAGATACTCTCTTAGGCAACACAACAATTGAATAAACAAATAGCATTGACCTAGTGTCAGGTATGAAGGTCAGACCAGGGTAAAAAAACAACCTGCTTATGACTCTCGGGCTTGATGTATGGGCTGGCTTCTGGTACTTATTTCGAATGTATTGATAGGAGGAACCGCATAATACACCCTCCATGGACTTCTGATAGGTCAGAATAGGTCACTAACCTAAAATGAGCCAGGTCAACATTTTTGTTGTGAAGAACATTTCTGCCTAGCGCAATCTTTGTCGCTTATCCAAATGCAAAACTCAAAACAGTCTTATATCATTTTAGTCAGCATGACCTTTAAAAGATCAAACAAGGTCACTGACCTTGTCTGAGCGTGTAACACTATCCTTAGAACAGTTGTCCAGGTTCTATGGGCACTTTGCAGACCAATCTGGAATTTGACCTTGTTTGACCTTATCTGATCCGAATATCCTAACCTAAGAGCTTCAAACTTTGACCTAAGTGAGTGTACGTACAGATCAGCACACCCTGTGAATTTGATCTCTAGCTCTCTTAACTCCCGAGATCTCAGGGGGGGGCAAATTTACCCCCTCTACCCGAGCGAAGGGGTGTCCAAGTGGCCGCCCAGACGCGTGTTAAAAGTCAAACAGGTCACTGATCTTAACTGAGCGTGTGCTATTTTTCTCAGAACAGTTGCCTAGGTTCTAGGGACGCTTGGAGACCTATGTGGAATTTGACCTTGTTTGACCTTATGTGACCCGAAGGTCATAACTTAGGAACCTCAAACATTGATCTAAGAGATTTTACGTGACAGGTCAACACACTCTGTGCATTTGGTGTTTCTAGCTGTCTTGCCCGAGATCTCGGTGGAGTCAAATTGCCCCCCCCCCCCCCCCCCCCCACCCCCCACCTGAGCCCATGGCATCCAACCGGCCACCGGGCGCGTGTTAACGAAAGGGTATTATTCAATTCATTTGTAATAGCAGGCAAGTCCCGCATAAGATTAACTTAATGATTGCCAGCATGAGCCCTACGTCATAAAGATAAGAGCTGTCGTTTGGAGCTGCCGTTGTCGGCAAATTGATCTGCCTTGTTTTTTTGCGCTGAACGGAAACGCATAAGTTTCGGTCTCTTTTCCGAAACACTTATGATCTGGACCAAACGTGAGCCTGTCTACACAGATTCCCTGTGAGCGTTGACATGCCCTGCTGGACAGGTCCGTGAAGTCATAGGATGTTGTCCCCCTATAGCCAGTCGCTTGGCCGCCTCACTCGGCATCGACTGCCTACTCCCTGATTTGCCCCTGTAGTCATTTGGGCGCAGTTCCTGAAACTATTCGACATCGCCTGCATACACGCAATCCACGTAACTACACCATCAGTGTCCGAGCCCAATCGACTTAATCGTCCACCTGTGTCTAGTTCCTTCTAACTGTAACACTCGAATTGGAGCCGAATTATCACGATGGGCGGATGTGAGCACTTCGAGCTGATGTCCCCGATGTCCCCTGGGCTGGTTCGAAAACCAACTTTAACGTGCATTGTTTGCATCGTCTGCTATTTCCATTCTGAAGTAATTATCTTGGCTTTCATCCACAGTTATGGTGCACTTCATAGCCCCATGAACGGGTGCTCTAATGCGAAGTCATCACCATCATCTTACCTTTCTGGGCCCACGCTGGTTTGATTTTCCCCTAGCGTGCGGGGTTGTCAATGAAACTTGGACATTGCATGCCATATTGAGGCTGGTAGACAAGCGATGTTCCCTATCATTGCCCGCTACAATTCGTGAAATGCTTCGGGGCACGCTGGACCGAACTACTCGCTGCTTAATTACCACGGCATCCGATTCCGCCGGATATGTTATGTATGATAATCGCCATTTGGCGCGTAATGTCGACCAGAAACTGCTCTGACGTCGCTGAAGCCATTGACCTCATACGCACACTGATCAGTACCGATTTCACAGGGTACTGTAAAGTAAATTCTAAAATCGAATGAGAACGGCCTCGGTCGCGAGTACTCAAGCTCATACCACCCATCGTTCGCCTCTCAACACGTTTAAAATCGAGTCTCTTCCATGCATCGCGATATAGGGGAACATAAGGCTTATTAAAGCGCGGTGCCGACTGAGCCGACTGGTTTTACGCCTGTCATCCTGGTGTTCTGGGCTCAGCGTCTTGCACAGCCGCGTGTGTCTGCGGGCGTATTTATGCTTGCATTGAACGTTCTTTTTAACTGTCATGCATCTCTTAATCAGGCGAAACAACAGCCTGTCTGGCGTGGAACTGCTGCTGTCGACACCTCATCGTGTTGAAGACAAACACAGCAGGCGAATGAGTTCCGGTTATACCCAGCAAACGGGCAGCCGGAGTCATTCTGCGTTCAGTCGGCTCAGCGATCACAAAGCGTTTTACGCTCCACCAGACTGCAGAGCAGTCCACCTGATTAACGTGTCCGTCCGCCCGCCCTGGGCCAGTCCTCGAACCGTGTTTCCTCTCCACCGCCGCAGCTCTGACAATTCACGTCGTCAATTACCGAGTGAGCCCGGTTAGTCCGACTCCACCTACTAGCCGGCGGGTCCCAAGCCCTCCCCCCCCCCCCCGCCACCGCCCCAGAAGCAGCAGGGCTTCGCCTCGCGTGAGCGCCGGACGTTGTTGGAGTTGCAGACTCAGGAGCGTGTCGCCGGCGGCAAGCGACAGTGCGTGCACTGGTGAGCGTGGCACCACGAAAGGCAGCGCCACTACTTAGCAGCACGCAGTCGCGCCGATATATCAGCCAACCAAATTACGGCGACTCCGGGATTGGGCGACCGCAAAAGTTGCGATAACAAAGTTTGGGTTTCCCGATGCGCCCCTATATTTAGGTCATTATTCGGAATGACCATCTACTTAAGGCGTCCGGCAATAATGCGGCTGGCCAACACTCCACCGCTTCAGCTGACCTGCACGGAAGGCACGATGTGTCACTGTTGGTCGCCGCCGCCGGCCAGCCGGGTCGACCGCAGCAGCCGCCCTGAGCGGCGGCGGGTACCAAAACAGCAGCAAAACCAGTCACCGCATGCACTCACGGCATCTTGCCGTCGGCATCTCGTGGAATCGCATCGCGCAGTGGCGTACCGACGCACGCTGCGCAGCGAGCTCCCCTCTGGCGATCATGCGTGACGTCTCTCGGCCTTGCTGCGGTCAGCGGAGGTCAGACTTAGCTTAGGTTAGGGCTCACATTGGATGCGATGTGGGACATCTGCAATGCGCACGCTCAGAAAAAGGTCGAACGAGGTTTGGTGAGCTTCATCGTATGGTAAGGTCAGGGTAAGAATTAATCATGCCCGCTTTGCAGCACATGCTGCAGAATTGGTTAGCTCTTCCCAGCCGTATAACATTGTGACGTTCTTTGATGCTTCCATATTTTTCTATTTTTTTTGGAACAGGCGGATCACCAGCATTTGGTGCCTGCGTGGCCTCAGTGCCGACAATTTGTCACCATTGTTTTATCTTGGTGGCATCTAGCAAGGAATGAAGGGATCAACAAATGATTCACCGTTTAGTAACATACCAACATTGATCTTCAAACACGGCAGTGTGATCAACCAAGTGTTGACTAGGATTTTTAGCTCCTTCGCGTTTCTTTAAGACCCTCTTCGCGTCCCCCATTTATGAAGCCAACCGGACAATTTCGCGTATTCTAAGTGCAACTCATAGTTCGGGATCTTACAACGCAAAACGCCTTTCGTTTCATGACCTTAAGGCCACAATTAGGTCATAGGTCAGACCAAGTCAAAATACTCCCACAAAGTCACCATCACCAGTCATGTGCAAGCAAAAGCCAGGTGTCGAGTGGCAAAGGTATCAAAATGTGTAATATACGTGTACTGGTACGATAGCTCGCCGAGCTACAAAAGCAGACTTTGCTGGGAGACCTGACCTCTGTCTCCTACATCACCGCGATAACGAGGTAAAAAATCATCTATTGTGTTAGCATGTGGTTACGAGAAAGAGCGAGAGAGAGAGAGAGAGAGAGAGAGAGAGAG